TAAAGATTGTTGAGAATTGGAAGTATGCTTTTGATCATAAAAATATACAGCAGTAATTATGATGGATTTATCTAAAGCATTTGATTGTATTCCACATGATATAGTTTTAGCAAACTTAGTGCATAAGGTTTTACAAATGCAGCTTCAAATTCTAGTCTTATCTCAAGCTATATAAGCAATCGAAAACAGTGTGTAAAACTGGGGGAAGTTTGTAGCGAGTTTTTAGAATAGTGCAAAGGTGTTCCACAGGGTTCAATACTTGGTCCTGTTAATTGAAACATTTTAATCAATGATATTTTTCATTTTGTGTCAGATTGTAATCTCTACAACTATGCCGATGACAACACTCTCTCAAACTCAAGTGACGATATTACATCACTAAAAATACTTTTGAATCAAATTGTCTGAATTTAGTTAAGTGGTTTGGAGATAATCAATTGCAAGCAAATCCCGATAAATTTCAAGCTATATGTCTCGGAAAGAAAAACTAAACAGGAAAACATTTGTTTTGAAAATGATGGTAATATGATTCATCCGGAAAACGAAGTAACATTACTTGTGTTACTAAAGATTTTGAGCTTAAGTTTAGCTCTCATATTTCAAAACATTTGTAAAAAAAAAAAAGCTTCACAACAATTAAATGTACTTAAAGGAATAGGGGTACACCTGACCAAATTAGGAAAACTAATCGTTTATCATACATTTATCATGTCAAACTTTAACTACTGTCCATTAGTTTGAAATTTTGAGGTGAACGAGAAACAAGGAAAATGGGGGAAAATACAGGAAAGAGCACTGCGGTTTGTTTATGATGACTACAAAAATTCATATAGTTATCTTCTGGACAAATCAAAATTACCATGCCTCAAACTCAGGCGTATTAGAACAATGGCCATAGAATGTTTTAAGATTTTAAACAATATTGTATACAATGTATTATGTAACATTATTTTGTACTCGGAAAATAGCTCTTCAGAGCTAATGTTCTTTGTTGATGTACCCGACTTTAAATTTATATTAATAATCTTATCTTATCTTATATCAGTCAATAAGAAATTCAATAAAGAAAGCCCTAACAAAAAATACTATAGTAAACTATAGTTAACTATAGTTTACTATCTTTAACTATAGTACCAAAGTTAAAACTTTGGAACTTTGATTTACTATGGTGAAAACTTTGGAACTTCGATTTACTATGGCGAAAACTTTGGAACTTTGATTTACTATGGCGAAAACTTTGGAACTTTGATTTACTATGGTGAAAAATTTGGAACTTTGATTTACTACGGTGAAAACTTTGGAACTTTGATTTACTATGATGAAAACTTTGGAACTTTGATTAACTATGGTGAAAACTTTGGAACTTTGATTCACTATGATGAAAACTTTGGAACTTTGATTTACTATGGTGAAAACTTTGGAACTTTGATTTACTATGGTGAAAACTTTGGAACTTTGATTCACTATGATGAAAACTTTGGAACTTTGATTTACTATGGTGAAAACTTTGGAACTTTGATTTACTATGGTGAAAACTTTGGAACTTTGATTCACTATGATGAAAACTTTGGAACTTTGTTTAAGTACTATAAAACCCGTGGATTTATGGTTTTGCTTCTCATTCTGTACATTTTATGAAATGTCAAGAATAAGATTTATTGAAGCTTAAATGAACGTTAAAAAAACCCGACCCCTCCGCTATCAGAACAAAGTACAAGAAATGAATTTTAATTGAAAAAAAGTACTAGCACCGATAAAAAAGCAATATTTATCATCATTTATGGAGAAAAAATTATTATAAGATAAAAAAAACCAAACCAAAATCATTACCCTTAAAACAGATAAATAATTTTTAAAATTAATAAAAAATCATACAAAAACTTCAATACTTCAATTTACTATGGTATAAACTTTGGAACTTGGATTTACTATGGAAAAAACTTTGGAACTTTGAATAACTATGGTATAAACTTTGGAACTTTGATTTACTATGGTGAAAACTTTGGAACTTTGATTTACTACAGTAATAACTTTGGAACTTTGATTTACTATGGTGAAAACTTTGGAACTTTGATTTACTTTGGTGAAAACTTTGGAACTTTGATTTACTATGGTAAAAACTTTGGAACTTTGATTTACTATTGTAAACTATAGTAAACTATAGTTAACTATAGTTAACTATAGTATGTTTTTGTTAGGGAGGAGTCAAAATAGTTAAAAATAACATGACTTACAACAAAATATTGAACAATTGCAAATTTTCTTTGACCTTTTCTTTAATAAAGAATTATTTTGTATTAGAGTATTAAACAAATATATTCATGTATTCTTTGAACTCTGTAAGAAATAAAAATGGAAAATGAAAAAAATACATTGAACATCAAAAATTGCAAATTAAAAAAAAAGAATATTTTCTAACGTGCTTTTAAAACAAAGAGAAAACAAGGAGAAAATAAGAGAAAAGGTGTGCTGATCAAGCGAATGAGTTAAAGATGCAATATTTATCAGCATATTTACCAATGAGACTCAGCATGTGTTTACCTTGAATAGTTGTTTAAAATATTTCTGTAAATAAAAGAATGCTAAGGAACACCTAATTTTCATTTTCTATAACTAACTCGGTCTTGAAATACACAGAAACAAGCAATACATGTATGTAATTATTTTAAATATATGAAATGGAATCTTACCTGTTCAGGTGCTTTCAATTTTCACTAAATTTGTTTATCAGAACAAATGCTGAACATTATATCATTGTAATGAAAATGAGTTGATATTTAATTAAAATGTGTCATTGTTTTTCTTTTACATCGTTATTTATATCGTTTAATCAAATCATTTCTTACAAAACAATATTGCTTTGCATTGAGTATTTTACAAATCAAAATCTTACCTAAAAGGTAACAAAATCCCGCAAGTTAAATCTTTTTTTCTTAGCGCAAAAAATCAAATACGAAACAATGTAGTTGCGTATCGCTTTTATAGACGATTAATTAGACAAAATGAATTTTGATACGAAATGATTTTCATCCAGTTTATAGTTTTCTAATTTATTTTTGATCCATCAGATAAAAAAAAGAAAGCGGCCGTTTCCATAAAAAAGTTTTATGTGATTGATTAATATTTAAATAATATCTCTCTCTCTCTCTCTCTCTCTCTCTCTCTCGCCTTGAAATAGCTTCCTTGGTTTCCATTTTTGTAAAGTTTCCTATTTTCATTGTATCTTACATCGTACACAGGATGTTACTGACATTTTCATTATTTTCTCTCCAGCATTTCACCAATCAGGTCTAGTATTGATCGATGATACAAAACGTAGTAAAATTGTAAAAATTTTGATCAGGCAAAAATCTACCGATTTACTTTACCTTTTTGGTGTAGGATAAATAATTCTGTGCATTTCAATTCAGGAGGTTCCAATGCATGATAAAAGTCAGACTTACGCTGATTTTGTTTTTCATTACATTAAAATGTTGTCAAAATTGAGGAATTCAGGACCACTATCATATATTGTGTATCAATCAATTTTAAACGGCCGCCACGATATCCCCCGGTCAATATAGGGACAGAAATCAGTCTGTTTTGAATTGAATAGGAGTAGTTTGACGTCAAGAAAACTTCGACAGGTGTAATTTCGCATACTGTCGCACAAACCTATTTGCATTGTTATCTTTTTTTTCTTTCTCCATTTCACCAAAATAAATATATATCATTATAAAATGAAAGAAAAATTAAGGTAAAAATTGATGTATAATTTTAAAAAGAAATCCCTCAATCATTTGTTAATGCTAGCATTTATTCCATAAAATAGTTTTTTCTTGGTAGTGTATTTTAAAAAATAAATATAACCTTTAAGATAACCTTATAACTGGTATGATTCTGGTATAAAACGAATTTATTGGGGCCACATTTTAGTATTATTTGTTTTTGTATCTCCATACAAACTTTACATGTATATTTATTAAAAATACACAAGAACACAATAATTGATCGGGTAAAAAAGTGTTCTGTAAATAACATTTGTTATATGACTAAAATAGTCCTTTTCTTTTAAATTGAAGGTATCGAATCTACTATATAAAAAAACGCACTCTTGATTGGACAAATAAAAATGCAATCTGCAATACTTTATAAGATTTATCTCTCGACTAACAAAATAATACTGATAACCATTCAATGTTTTTAATTCAAATTAAGCCACCAGTAGACCTGCATTTTTTCTCATTCAAAATAGAATATTAAACTTTAAGAAATTATGTGAAAACATACGCCGATAGCTTTTTTGTTAATTTTTTATGCCAGTGGGGTTATATTTTAGTTTTCGCTAAAGTCTTTGAAAAAAATTGCTAAATCCCTTCTTCCGTAAATTCAATCTTAATTCCGTTCTATCTTGTACATGTAAGCAATAAAATGCCTTTTCTCGTCTGCAAATAAGTATCCAGGAAGCAATTTTGACGTGAAAATTAGATTTAATAAAAATTAAAGTGATTAAAATACCCCTTTTAGATTTTCATAGAAAATTGCATACCATTACCATGTTAATTGGTAACAGCAACAGTATTATTATCTTATATAGGACGAATATGATGCTAACTATAGCTCGTAGTTCATTGATAAGTATTCATGAATTAAAGATGAATGATATTATATAAATATTGCATGTAATTGAGTGTAGTACTGAGGATTTTCACACACCCCACCAAAAAAAAAAAATAATTGTCAACAGATACAGTCGACCTTGACAATGGTTTTGAGTGGCAAAAATTTTCAATGTTAAACTCAACTACATGGAATATTTATCATATCATACTGAATATTTTATAAAAAATACATATGACAGAAAACCTTGCTCTGACACATTTTGTGCAGTCAAGATTTTTTTGTAATATCACTCGTCGTCAAGAAATATTGACTGTTGCTACGCTGGATGCCGAGGCTTAATTATGGTTTAATATACTCGTTTAGTTTATTTTTGTGTTTCACATGCTTTGTCGCCCCTATCAACATCGATGTTACTATATGTTGTAAACCTACCTGACCGTTCAACTTCGGCTGAGTCCAAAAAGAGTTGCCTATTATAGGATATGTTGTCTATGAGGAAATGTAAACAAATCAGTGAAAGTTTCTTAACTAAAAAAATGTCATTTTACCTGACGTTTCCTTTACTGGCGTTTTTGCTGTCGTGAGGTCACAGTCCATATCCTTTAAAGGGAGATCCCGCAAAAATACTCTCGCCAGATTACTGGGAGTTGAACATGTTGGTTCAGACTTACGTCCTAACGTCAAGTTTCTTGATTGGGAAAACCTGACAAAATCATTCAAGATGCAGCCACAGTGTAGAGGATTGCCGTTTACTGCCCTACAACAAATAAAAACAGTTAAAACATGCTTATATAAACTTAGAATTATATATATATATCACAAATAATTGATAAGCATATCACCTTATACCTACATAAAGCAATTTGTGGATACAAAAAAATATATATAAACTGTGCTGAGCTTCTCAATGTTGACAAAACAGGAATGATTAAAAAATTATTAATATACTGCATCCTTACAGAGTCTCTAATTTCGAAAGTCCCAGGAAAATATCTTTGTTCAATACGGTTATTTTGTTGTTATAAATATACCTACAAAAATATTAAAATATTTTTATTAAATGACAATACTTGTAAATCTTTTATGTTCGTGTATTTAATTTAATATTTTATTTATATATTGTTAAGATAATGATAATGTTTGGATAAATATTTTACGTTTCATATTCATGGTATAATGAATTGATTTAATAAAAAAAATAATAATAATACAGATGCCGAAAAACACTAGGTGAAATTTTACACTCGTTTTGCAAATTTGGAATATATACATTGCTGACAAACGTACAATTAAAAGAAAATGATAAATTATAGCATTTTTATTTAAGGTTTTGAAAAGATAATAAAATGCATCGTCGAAAACCACGGGCTTGATGATAGAGAGAATCGACGTGAATCACCCGTGGGTTACCGACGAGGTCATAAATGAAGTTCAGTGTTAACGTGTTTATTTTTGCTCCCTATTTTGCACAATTACATCGTTAAAGTCATCAGGTTTGGTAGGAAACAAGATTACAAGGAATGATTTTGAAATTGGGTCATGGGAATCCCTGCCCTCTTTTGCGTTTGCCTTTGTTGAAGCCGTTGGTATTTATATAAATGTCTTCTTTTGCCAAACACTGAGTTTCAGTATTCCAGTCTTGTATTGTAGCAAATGCAATACATTTGAGATAAGAACAAGGTATGGTTTCCATACAAATTTTGCATAATTGAAATTCAATGCAGAAAAATCCCACAAATCATTTTTCTCACAGGTAATTTTAAATATGTTAATTATGACGTCATAAACATGTACAATTTCCCGTATTTTCTTAAAAAGTTGCAGAAGACACCCATTTTCAATGGAATTTTCTTTCAGATAATTTTGTCCACAGGCATCGCCCACAAAGACGATCTTGAGATATGTTATTTGTTATTGAATTTTGCACAAAATATCCAAAAAAAAAAAATAATAAAAATAACGTGGGCGACGGCTATGGACACTGTTTTCTAAAGGAAAATCACCCTTAAAATGGGCCATTTTGAGGCTCTTTCTGTTGAAAATAGAGAAATGCTTCACATTAATGACGTCATATTTGCAGAATGGTAAATTTTTATGACATAATCTTTCCTGATTTATCAGTCATATATTTAACTAATATTTAAGCCAGTTTCAAAACTTTTTGTTGTCATTAAATTTTTAGGGCACAATAAAACTAAAACCATACCTTCTTCTTTCTTGTGTTCATTAACTGATGTAAAATATTTAATTTATTTCTATATTTATTTTTGGAATCTGACATATTAAAGCTTTTTTATGATACAATTTACTTACAGTTCCTGTAAATTTGGTAAACCATTAAAGGCATTGGTATGAATTATGCTTATCTTGTTGGAAGCTAACCATCTGCAATTAATTAGAAAAAAATTCATATACCTACTTTTACATAAAAAATCAATTTTTTCACTCGAATGTGGCTAAATTAAGACGATAAAACATGATCCTGAATATCCATTGACAGTTAAAACACGAATGCCTTATACCTTCGATATTTATTTAGTTATCATTGTTAAAGTGAAATTTTGTTGTGAAATGTATAATTAATGCTTGATTTATATTATCTTAATCTTGGTGATTTGTAGTAATTTGTCTAAGCTACAGACTGCAGTGATCTGTTTATGTGATAAGGTCTTGACCGCTCATTAAGATTTGGCTGGGGAATTTAGCTCTTGTATCAGCATTGCAGCAAAGAGTGTTTTAATATATTTTTTGAATTGTGCACATGCATGATTATTTATTTGAAATTATGAATTTTTTCATGAGCGTTGTATTCATCAGAATTTAGAGAAGACTGAATAAGTTCCCAGGAACAGGATGTGAATGAAGCCTACATATACATAAATCAAAATGACACAGCTTTATAATTAAATTGAAACAAAAGTTAGGCGTTCGCTATCACGTGACCAAACTGTGGAGTGAGCTATCAGATTCAATTGCTCACAGGTGGTGATAATGCAGGGCAAGCAAGAAGAAGTGAAATTCAAATTTGTGGATTACACACTTGCTATACAGCTGCATTTAGAAGCGATGTAAGTATATTTATTCTTATTTATTCAGGTTAACTGTAAAAATTGATTCGGAATTCATTCTTGTCATGTTTTTGCACACAAGCACTGTAAGTTAAGGTTAAATAACATATTTTAAGTTGTTTCTATCTATCTAATTCTTAACTGTCTATTACAGACACGATTGTAACAAAGAAATTCAGCCATAGACTGCAAGGAAAACAAATGTTGTGGCGGTACATGTAAATAACAATGAAATCGAAGACCATGCATAAATAAGTGTATAAAGTATGAGTCCGTATGACAAAGATCAAGATGAAGAAAACGGGAGGCGACAAAGGGACGGAAAAAGAGCGGGAATACAACAAAAGGACTATAATAAAGGAAGTGAGCCCTGATTAAGAACTTTTAATTGATAATTTTTCATAATTTAAATCTGTTGTCTATTTTAAAATTTATTTTGTAAATTATGATTGAATTGATGTATATAAAATATTATCACAGTGGATCATTTGTAATGTTTTCATTGAACATATCCATGTATGCATTATGAATGCAGATTGAATTGTGTATTAATTATTTTAATCGGTAGAGGGCTGTGTTAACAAGGTAGCTGCAAAGCGAAGTGCCCTAACAACAGGAACAACTCCATAATCCAAGAGAGCATTAGACATCAATCACAATTCAAATTCCGTCACTTCCTTTTTGCCAAGGACATGTTTTTTGATGAACGCATTATTGCTATTCATATTTATTACGTCTCCATATGAGTGAAAAATTCTCAAGAGGGACGTTAAACGATATACAATCAATCAATCAATCAATCAATCAATCAATCATATTTATTACTTTAATTCTCTTACAATTTACGTAAACTTGACAATCTGTCGAAGACGCTATCTTCAGGTGTGGTGATATTTTTCGCATTCAGAATCCTGGAAAAAGTTCAATAAAATTATTGTTAACATTACCTTACCTTTCTTTCATATCAATATAATTCTTAATTTATCATACAGAAAATCCAATAATGATCATATCGGTAAATTCAAATAGATGCACAGAGGATTATAATGAAAAGAAATAAACATTTCATAAAACATCAATTTAAGCTTTGTTTCCAGGACACTTAAGCCCACCAATCTTAAAATTATCTTAGTATCTTCACTGAAATCAAGTTATAAGAAAACAAGCTTATTTTAATCTTTGGTATCTTGAAAAACTGATATCTCGAATACTATATGGATCTGACAAATTGATTTTCTCAACTCCTGAAATTTCAAGTATCTCAACATAGATATCTCGAATTTTCGGACATGTCAAAGTTTTTTATTAGTGTCCAAATAGGTACGAGATTACAAAGCTTGACGTTATATTGCATTTTGATCTATTTTTCCAGTCGCCACAAAAACTTAAATATTTAAACCCAAGAGAGGTTGTAAACACTAGAAATTGGGACAATTATACTTTAGAAAATATATGGTTTTTCCAGAACACTGGATCACGTCTGGAGCTCAAGTTTGAAGTGACAGTTTTCAGTGTAGATGGTGATTCTGTTGTATCATTTAATTTTACTGCAGCCCGTGTTCTGAATTTCAAGTACTATTCTTAAAATGATAATGTAGACAAAGTGTCACAATTTTTTAAAAAAAAAGAAAGTGGTAGAGGGCTGTGTAAACAAGGTAACTGCAAAGCGGAGCGCCCTCTCAAAAAGAACAAAATCATAAACCAAGAGAGCATTAGACATCAATCACAATTCAAATTACGTCACTTCTTTTTTGCCCATTATATGTTCTTTGTTGAAGGCATTATTGCTATTCATATCTATTACTTTAATTTTCTTACAATTTACGTAAACTTGACAACATGTCGAAGGCGCTATCTTCCAGTGTGGTGATATTATTCCCATTCAGATTCCTGAAAAAAAAGTTCAATAAAATTATTGTTAAAATTACCTTACCTTTCTTTTATATCAATATAATCCTTACATAATCATACAAAAAATTCAATAATGATCATATCGGTAACGACAAATAGATGCACATGGCTCAGGCGGATCTAGATATTCCAGAAGGGATTGTTTAGTCTTTGGTTTGTTTGATTCTTTAAAAGGGGGACAGATTTTATCATAATTATAATTAAATGACTATATTATATAGTCTATCTTTAGTCCATATATAATCTATAAAAGCACAAACAGTTCACAACACAGTGACTACATTTACCGGATTTCAAGACGTATCCATTGGAGGATCAGTGCTCAGAAGTTGGAATTTTGACGTCACAACGAATACCTCAAATAGTGTTGAAAAACAATGGTGGCAACAATCGGAGCATGCAGGAAATATTTTTAGCGAGTCTGTTGCAGGATTTTCGTATTATTTTGATGTCTTACTAACAGAAAAAAAAAAGACTATGTATGTTTCAAGTCGTAATCTGGACATTATATCTAGTTTTATACGAACACTATTACTTTAATTTAATAGAAATTGAATCATTTGATAACCTTAAGTGTCTTATTTATCAAATAATATCTATAAAATAAAACTACTTTGAACTCTTTCGATGGTGAATATAGTTTCTTATTCACCAGATAAATTTCAATAGTGATATGATCGAGGCGAAGTCGGCACAACCTCTTGCCGGTAGAGAGCTGTAAATTTTGTCAGATATTCGGCAATTACAGCCATTGAGCAGTGAGGGATCTTTTTCTTGCCAGCAGCTACTGTAACACGGGATCTAAGCTTTTTTTTACGGTCTCAACCTCATCTCATCCCGAGTCTGATATCTGAAGATGCAAGAGTTACATGTAAAAGGTACTCCATATGTTTTGTATCATTGTTCTCAGGTTTCTCAGTAACCCATAATCTATCGTTTTTACGTTAATAGCCGGTCTCTATCTTCCACCGGCGATCTCGTCACTTTTCGACTCAAGAGTAGATTCTGATTACACACACAAGTACTCTGAAGTTGACATCAAGAAGATGTTAGAGTTTCTGATTGACAATATCTATGTAGTTTGGAGACCAGGTATTCCAACAATCTGTTGGAATTCCAATGGGCATAATTTGCGCTCCGTTATTAGCAGACTTATTTTCAAATTCATATGAAGCAGATTTAAGGCAAAATCGTATGCGCGAAAAGAAGAAAACACTTGCTGTGGCCTTCAACTCGACATTTAGATATATCGACGACGTATTGTCAATTTGCGTGTGCAAAGGTCATCATTGCAACAGTCGTATCTTACCTCGACTATCACAATGCCCTTCTGCTTGGCATAACCAATTGAACCATGCACCGATTACAAGTGACTCAGAACAATGCTGCGCGTGGTTTCACAAAAACATACTACAGACAACATATCACGCCAGTACTTCAACAACTGCACTGGCTGCCTGTAAAACAGCGTGTTGTGTTTAAAGTTCTGACTACCATGCACTAGTCTCTACACTCCTCCACAGCATCACCATATATAAGAGAGTTATGCTCTACTTATCAGCCACAAAGAACTTTAAGATCATCGTCTGACAAATGGAAACTAATAGTAAAGAAATCATCAAACAAATATGGTGCAAGAACCATAAGCACATAAGGCGCACAGCTGTGGAACAACCTGCTTTTAGAACTACGAGAGCTTGAAGCACATGGAGCATATGGAACATTACGCAAGAACCTAAAATAATTCTTGTTCAAGCGTGAATATAAGTTATGAATGTAAAATTCCAGCAAAACATCAAGGACTCCATGTGTAAACTCAACTTCAAAAGTACATGTACTATCCTGTGTACATATCAGTTAACCAATTTCATATTTTTACCATTTTTATATAAGGTCCTTATTAGTTTTATCGATTACTTACTTTCCATAACAAATTTATAGGTTTTATTGATATTGTTATAAAATGTTAGCAAAACCATTGTACAGCGCATAGAAACAATATGTGATTTTGCGCTTTAAAAATTAACAAAATAATAATAATAATAACTAGATGAGATCTTGTTGAGAGCAACGAGTAGGTCTTCCGTTGAATTTCGCGATAAGATGAGATGTGATTTTGACTGAGATATTCGTTACAAAAGAATGACATTAAGTTTCCTTCTTTAAATTTAAAGTTTCTGATTTTTATCACGATATTCTGAACTTCTTTTGTTCAATATGTCTTATAAAAATACTCCCCCTTTTGGAGACGAAAAGCGTAAAAAATATATCATTTTAATCTCTTGCATCCCTTATAACGTAACATATACTCTGAAATCACACTTCCGTTGGGGTTTAATTTTCGCTGTTTTCGAGGTACGGCGAGACCCACGACTTCATGACAACAACGAAATGTAAAATGTTACATACATACATACTCATTAATTCTTGAACCACAAAACCAAATCCCCATGAACCAAGAGATTTTCCCCCAAACCACGAAAATTTGACCCAACGAAAATATGTGATTTTACAGTAATCAAAATTTTATAATATATTCTTGCAAATCGTTAGGATGATCCCTAACTCATAATGTATACTTATCACAAAATATTGATCAGGGAAAAGTTGAAGATAAAAGACTTTTGACCCATCTGAGCCCCAAATTTGAGCACTCGCCCCCTTTTTTTATATCAAATGAAAGGTCTTGTGATTTTGAAGATTTTTTGTTCAGCACTTATTCAGAGTTTTCTATTCGTTGTGGAGATATGCTAAAAGGAAATATTTAGGGGCCACCCCTACAAGTCCTTAATGGGGCCGTTTTACAAAAATTCCAATTATGCATATTGTTAAGAACATTATTCTGACCATCTTTTGTTCAATATTGCTTATTAAAATATTTCCCCTTTTTGAGATATAAAGCGTCAAAGATTTGACATTCTGACCCCTTGTGACCTTTCTTTACGTAGTATATGATCAAAACTTTATCATAAAATTATATTGTTGCAAATTGTTAAGATGAATACTTTTGCTTCAGTAATATATAACAAAATATTGATCATTAGAGAGTTATAGATAAAATACTTTTGGCCTCTCTAAGCCTCTAATTTGAGGGGTCAGCCGCATTTTCTTGGTATCAAATGGAAGGTCTTGTGATTTTGAAGATTTTTTGTTCAGCACTTATTCAGAGATTTCTATTCGTTATGGAGATATGCTAAATGGAAATATTTAGAGGCCATTCCTAAAAGTCCTTAATGGGGCCGTTTTACAAAAATTCCAAGTATGCATATTGTTAAGAACATTATTCTGACTATCTTTTGTTCAATATTGCATATCAGAATATTCCTCCATTTTGAGATATAAAGCGTCAAAGATTTGACATTCTGGCCCGTTTTGACCCCTAATTACGTAATATATGATCAAATTTTTATGATATATTGTTGCACATTGTTAAGATGAATACTTTTGCTTCAGTAATGTATAACAAGATATTGATCATAAGAGAGTTACAGATGAAAGACCTTTGGCCCCTCTGAGCCCCCAATTTGAGGGGTCAGCCCTTTTTGTTGATATGACCTGAAAGTTCTTAACATTTTGCACATTTTTCCTTCAATATGTTTTAGCAAATTATAAACAGGTACGAAGATATGAAACAAAATGTGTCAAATTTTGTGAGATGTTTCTGAGACATTTTTCGAGCCCTACCGAGCTCCGGCGCCTTTTGCGAGGAGTTTCCAGATCAAGCCGACCCTTTGAAAATCAGAAAATCGACCATATCTCACGACCGGAAGTGACGTCATCAAAAAGTAAAAAAACCTATCAAGATCAATTGAATATCTTTTACATCTTGAAAGTTTGAGAAAAATCGGATGAAATCACTTGAACAAAATTGGTTGGAAGAAAAATAATAATAGGGAAAAAGAAACCGAGCGAAAACAATAAGGTCTTCCGTTGGAAGACCTTAATAATAGTTAATAATAGTAATTTTCATTCCTACGTCGATATGATATATCCTGGTGAGCTTGAGATAATAGATACCACAGAGTCCGACTCTTCTGTTTCATACTTGGATATTTTACTTGAAAAAGACACTAATGGTAATCTAACAACCAAGTTATATGATAAACGTGATGACTTTAACTTTTCTATATTCAACTTCCCTTACTGATGCAGCAATATACCTTCATCACCTGCATACGGAGTATATATATCTCATGATTCGATACGCAAGAGCATGTTCTATGAACAATTTTTAAGACGAGTTAAATTATTGACAAGCAAGTTTATGAAACAACAATATGAAGAGTCTCGCTTAAAGTCATCATTTCATAAGTTCTATGGTCGATACAATGACCTTGTCAGCAAATACAATTTATCACCGAGTCAAATGCTGACTGACTTTTTTCATACCTATTGTTAGTCCATTATTTATACACTGAATTGACGACGGATGTTTTCCTTTATTTCCTGATCATAACAAGGAGCACACGGCGGGTGTGACCGGTCGGCAGGGAATAATCACTCCTCTATGGCACCTGATCCCACCTCTGATGTTTCGGAGGTCCCTGTTTTCTCTGCTCTTGTTTATCATTGTTTTATGGACTTTGAGACTTAATACTGTTCGTTGTCTCCATATCCTTCTCAATGCTCTACCTACTGTGTCACAAGAGCGACAATAAGAAACTTGCAATTACTTTGTACTTATTTGTTTTTATATATAAAACATCCTGTTGAAAAGGGATTAAAGAGATGTCCTTATGTAAACACATGGCTGCTATCAGAATTTAGGGCTGAAACGATACACCCCCTCCACGATACGATACGTATTGCAATACTTGTGTCACAATTCAATTTTTTCAATACAATACATTTTAAAAAAGAAACAGGTCATTAATTTAAAGAAAACATGTATTCAGATTCCAAAAGATACATAAAAGATGGGGATACAAAAAGAAAACACTTTTTGTGCTTCTGTCGATTAAAAAAATCACATTGTCTGTGTCAATTCTAGCAGTGGCAGTCTGCTCTAAAACTTTCTCAGTCTAAATTTTCTCTCTCTTGTGTGTCAAACTGTCAAAATGAGGACAAAGACAGTCAAATCAAGGGGTAATCTAACTTGATTATGAAAAAAGTATTGAATTGAAAATTGAGGTAGTGAATTTAATATTGAATTGAGGAATTATTTTGAACAATATCGATATTTCAATGAATTCTTTCTGTCCTATATCAGAAATATGACTCTTTAAAAAAATATTTTTATTATCTCTAAATTTAACAAACTGTCGAAGACATTTTCTTCATGCGTGGTGAGTTTTTTCCCTCCTTGATTTCTGGAGATATACAAGACACAATCAACTAAATGAAACATTTTCTTTTAACCTGTACCATTCGGAAAAGTGATATATGCTCATAACAGTCATTACTGATCAATCGATAAGGCCGATCGCGGTCATGACCAGTCAAGATGGAATGCTAACTTCTCTGTGGCACCTGATGCGACCTATAATTTTTCCAAAACTAAGTGTAATGCCCTTTACATAATTTGTTTTGTTTTGTATATAAATGAGATTCGTCAAATGGGATTTCCTGATATATATTCCTGATATATTGTTCAACTCGATATACTAGTACAAATTGACGCCTAATAATCATACTACAATTTTTCAAATAACTTTAATTACTTTAATGACAAACGTGGATAACTGGGAAGTGGGCTCTTAAAAAAAAATATATTAATTTTATTAATAAAATTAAATTTATTGTGGAAAATCTTCAAATAGTTATAAAATGTACAAAAAAGTTTCAAGAATGTATTATGCGTAGAATGATTTTTTTAAACAAAACGATTGATTAATTGTTAAACACCTCCGTTGTACTAGATCTCACCTCTGAAGTATTGAAGGTCTATGTTTGCTATGCTCAAGATAGGTATTATTTTAATAGATTTCTGACCTTTATTACCGTTCACCACCTTAAACTGTTTTTATTTTCTAACATTAACAATGCAACAAGAATTCATTATCGTATTCGAAATGATGATTGCACTGATTCTAAATCAATGCTACTAATTTATTAGCTATAAAAAATTTATCAGTGGAATATTGCTATGGTTTTTAGTTTATAATTGGTCTAAGCATAATTCTTTAAAAAAATGATTAAATATAGTTAAAATCAATAAAAATGTTACAAGGAATATATAAATTTCGCATTTCTTAAAGTTAATGTTGGTATTGAAAGTTACAGGTTCGACTCTAATAGATATTTGATGAATATTTACATTTGGGAATTTACAGAATCAGATATCGTTGTGAGACTTATCTAAATGATGCAATCAAGAGATTTTGCAAATTCGAAACATTTTTTCTAAATAATGTTATGTAGAACTTTTATAAAACGATCTTTCTTCTCAATTATTCAAAAAAGATCTCCATCATCGTTCTAAGTGAAAGGTGTTGCATAATAACGATAAGCATATACAAAAAAAGAGTTGTGTCTCGCATGTTGTTTTTTTTTTTTTATCATTTTTTGCTTTATTAATAATCTTATTACTCTTCTACGAGTAAGTCCATTGGGAAAAGAACAACCACAATAGACGATTTTATGAACAAACTTTTACATTGTAAAAATATTCTTAAAAATCATAGCGTTGAACGGCTAACAGTACATCAGAACAAAATTGTACGCGACCCTATAACTCTTGAGAGATTTTCATTAAATCTTAATCAGTGATTATTCTTTAATATTTTACTCTCAAAAGCACATGACAGAGAAATCAACATTGGTTTTATTGCTAATGTCATGTATACAAACAGATATTTTTGCCTTATAAACTTTCACATACTAGGAGGTTAAATTATCGTCATATTTTTTAAAAAGTTTTTTGTTTAAGTTTTGTTTCAAGTTTTTAATCACAATATCATCCTATATGATCAATCTAGCTAAACTCATTTTTAAAGAAATCGTTTATTTATGTTTTATTTTTCATTTTTTTAATCAAAATATGCTCATTATCTTTACTTAATATGAACTAATGGCTATTAAGAATTAACATCATATTGAATTAAAGAAAAAATGATTTAAAAGTATAACACAAAATACATCTACATGGTTTGTTCTAATTATGAATTCCTTGAAACAGTTACTTACAATTCACATGTATTTGTGGGGATGTAGAAAGGTACTTCAGTTAACCCTTTTAGCAAACAGTTTACAAATGCCCCATTACAGGAGGTACTCCTATTACAGCTACAGCGACTGGGACAGGCCTCAGTCACAGGTCCGTACATCAGAACACAGAGAACTAACGTCCACACAATCAGAGTCATTTTGGGGATTAAGACGATATTTTCCTTATGAATCCTGTATCACTGAGCAAACGTCTACTTCTGAGAGAGAATTAACTTCCCAATGTTACTTTAATGCGGAGATATATAACAATGATGGCGTTTGTTTGTCCTAAAGTGACGCCATTATTAGGAGTAATCTTCATTTAGGCAGTACATAGTTTATGCACTACATGTAGGCATATCGATACAAATAATCCTGTGTAATAGAAAGTAAAGAACTTAATTGATTAAGGACTTAATATACATGTATGCAATGATACAATCACAAAAAACTGTGATTTTTGTATATTTTCCTACAGGTATAACGGAATGATTTAATTGCGGTTAGCATTAGGAAAAAAGCATTAAATGATGTTGATAAAAAAAAGTTTTCCAGAAACCTGGATGCTAGAGAAATAGTACTGAAAAATAATTAAGGGAATTCATCATTTTTTTAATAAATATTATTAACGATCTAGATTCTGACATTAACTTCATAATGGACAAGAGATTACAAAGCATTTAGTTTTGGACTCCTAATAGCAAGTTATAGAGAATGTCTTACCGCAAACATGTATGAAACACTGACAACTATTTCCATTTCAGTTTCTTTCATCAAAATCATACAAAATCGGCGCAACTTACATAGAATAAAAAAAATATATACAAGATACACATCGCAGCTTGATTGATTTTAATTATCATCTATTAAGCAAGAAGTTGTAGTGTAATACACTAAATCTCAGACCAGGGTTGGAGACCAGGCTTCGACTTTGCCGTTGTGTTCGATTTTTTTTTTTGCATTATCACTGTACACTAAGTGCTAATCGAAAATCTACTTGATTTGGATCACTAGCTATATTTGTTTGGATCATTCGAAGTTTCTGTCTGCACATTTAGACAAAAAATGTCTTTTATGTACGTTTTCTTACTAATATTAAAACTACTTCAACCAATATGAGACTTCTTCTTGTTTTATTTAAAGATTGTCATATTTTTGTGTCATATACCCCTCCTTAAACATCGGTAGCACGCGTTTTTCATGCATCTGACGGTCATTTTTTGACTAATCATCCACTGGAATGGACTGTTGACATTATTTCAATAAAATATTTAATATGTTTAATATGTTTAATATGAATCTTTATCAACCGTAAGCTATCAAATTTGACGATAAGGTCTTCTTTATATCTTGACAATTACATCAAATATGCACCTACCCAACTTTCCCAGAGATATTTTAGGTTTGCGTTGAAAATATCAAGAAAGCTATCTTTGTTGTCAGACAGCTATACTTTTTTAGAGTATACATATAGCATTTAGGCCCAGTGCAATTAGTAACATTATTTATTGACGTTACTTTGGGTTTACAACAGTATTCAAACAAACGGTTACCACATTTTTCGAAGAAAATGCATGGATCTTATTTCATAGAAATCATAGCATATCCCTAAAAAATAAATTAACTTCAGTAACTACCGATATATTCTTTTATCGTAGACTGCAGACTAATAAGAGTTTGTGTTTCTTGGGGAGGGGGAGGGGGGCAAAGTTATTTTGATATGGTTACTTTAATAGTCTTAAATTTAAGTGAATTTGAAAAAATTATCAGGTCTTGTCCCCTGACCTATATCCGCATATATGGTAAGTGTCTCAATTGGCCACTTAAAATGGATATCTTAATTTTACTTTATATATAGCTTTAATTTGTACAGCTTTATATGCGACCTTTATTGGTCATTTTCATTTAGATCAAAATGCCGTTATGTTAGAAATATGACATCATAAAAATCACGTTTTCCCGCCATTTTTGCATATTTTGTATAAAACTGCTTATTTTCAAGCAGTATTTCTTTCAGAAAATATAGAGCGCAACCGAGAACAAGATTATTATTTTTACCAAAGATGTATTTATTCAATACTAATTAGTGACAGAAAAAATATGTATGTTCTACACTGCGCTTTATGTTTTCCATAAGAAGAAACATCAAGAAAAAGGCATATTTTTGGCTCATTTGTTAGATAGCAAAAATAGCTTTATATCTCATGTCATTTACAGCTAGTGAGTGCATATAAATATGAAAAAATATATTGGTAATATTTCTTATATAATCTCTTCTACAAAATAAATATAAATAAAACTTATCTGAATGCCATTCTAAAATGTTGATTTTTTGGGGGCCAAAATTGGCTCTTATCATATACAGTGGAGCCTCATTTATCCGGACACTTTGGTTCCCAGTCAGTTTGTCCGGATATGTGAAGTGTCCGGATACCTGAATCACCAGTTAAACATGACATAATAACATTTTAAAATTCTGTTCCGATGAAAAGCGTCCGGATACTGAAGCATCCGCATATATGGGGTCCGGATATCTGAAGGTCCACTGTATACTCCTTTTAATTAAATTATATCTTTATAGATTCTGTTTCAGATTCTAAGTTTTAAGTTCTTATGTCTGATGAAAATATGAAAATAGGTGATATATTACAAAAGTTTCATTATAAACTCTTTATCATAAATTAATAAAAGAGAGAAAAAAATATATAAGACGAGGACAATCACCCGCTCTATGACGGAAAAGTTTTTAAAATTATGTTGTCGGTAATGTCATCTTCAACATATTAGATTTATACTGTAAACCAACTATTATTCGCGACGACTTTATTTCGAGATTTATCAGGAATAAATTGATTCGCGACGATTAATTTTCGCGATCATGCCTTTTTTGGATTTGTTTTAATGGACACATACACTTAATTGACCGGTTGGCGGCGAGATATATTCGCGATGACGAGGCTCTCGCGAACTTCGCGAAAATTTCTCGCACGCGAATAAAAGTTGGTTTACAGTATATTGTACTGAAAGTTATATTGATTGAAAATTGTTTCAGACTTATTTAGTCTAAAAAGGGTACGTTTTTATTAAATGATTCTAGCTATATAAATTTATTTTTTGAATATGAACGGATCAGGTTTCTATTCCGAGTCCTGTGTTTAAATTACGGAAAAGTAAATGCATTGTGTGTGTTTTTAAATGGAGTCTGAACCCATTCTAAAAGTCGAATGTTTCTGAAATTTAAAAAAGAAAAAGTAAGGATAATGAGCATTGATTTATGTGAAAAATGTACAAACGATACAAACATTTAAGCAAGGCATAAATACAGACCCCCGGAACACCAGAGATGGAGACAGGTGCCTAGGAGGAGTAGCATCCCTAGTTGATCGGTCTCACTCGCTGTGAGCCCTATGTATTGATCAAATAAAGAGAGCATTTTGTTATCAAATTTAGTATAAAAACAAAGATTTAACAGTTGGGTGAAAGAAGTAAACCAAAAAAAAAAAAACAAACAAATAAAAAAAAACAAACAAACAAACAAAAAAAAAAACACGACCCAAGATATATTAAATGAAAAGTTGAAAATCATTATTCGTTTCTTTAAAGCAAACTGGCACACAAACATCAAAAAGACACCGTGACATATAGTGGTTAGCGCATTCAGTCTTACGCCTATCACGAGCGAGCTTTGAAAAAAGTTCGAATAGTTAGTAGAGCTCTTTTTTCCGTTTTACACACCTTTAATACATAAGTGAAAAAAATATCTAATGTGTATTTATAAGTAAGTTATTTAATGACATAAACTTGAGACAGTGTCTTTGGATTATACTCTCCCTATATACGCCTCCATTCTTCAAAATTATTCTAGGCAAATCAAACATAGCATTTCTGTATCAATCGCTAGAAAACGCAAATCAAGTATCACACAAACACCAGCAAAGATAGCACATTTCATCAAATTCTATAATTATTTATTTCTGTTGAACTTTTTTCGACTGATAAATGTTTTTCTTGTGATAATGAATGCCAATATTTTTTTCAAAACTGTTTAAATCGCGTTCATTTTATCAAAAAACAATAAAATTTACTTTCATGCAAATCACAAAAAGGATCCAAAAAAGTATAGCCATCGCAAAAATATGTTGCAAACATAGTACTATAGCATTCACTCAAAACAAGAATAGCTCAATTTCTCAAAAAAAGCGTAATTTAAAGAAATCAGATGGTGTTTCGTGAGTGAATTTAGGCGAAAACTTTGATACAACAACTTTTACAACAGAGTATAGTATTCAAAAATTAAGAACAATTGTAATAATTTAAAATGAGCGAAAATCCCATTTTAACTTAGTAAATGAGAACGGATCGAATTTCTAACATGTTTCAACCTTAAAAATTTTTAAAATAAATTTTCATTGATTCTATAAAAGTTAAATAAGTTTTCTAATTTCTTAAAGTTACTTTTACCGATATTTTGCCTGCAGAATTTTCTTTTTCACCCATAATGCATCAGAGTACCCAAAGCAATATAGCTAGTGATCCAAATCAAGTAGATTTTCGATTAGCACTTTGTATACAGTGATTATTTTATATTCGATTGTTATGATTGTGTAGGATTTTAGGCTGGACTGAGGACATCAAGCCTGGATAGCTCAGTGGTTAGAGCACTTGATTTGAAACACAGGGGCCCCGGGTTCGATTCCCGGTTCAGCCATGTGTTTTCAGTATATATGAATTAATAAATTTTCAATGTATGTTGAATTATTCCTCCTTTCCATACTACAGATGACGCTGTGGCTTCCCTTGTTCCGACAATTTATAATGTTTAATTACTGTTAAGTCCTGACGAAGTGAACTTGAGTTGTGTGTCTTTGGGGTCGAAGACTATTTAAGGAGGGAGGAATTTAGGCTGGACTGTGGACATCGGCCTGTATAGCTCAGTGGTTAGAGCACCTAATTAGAAATACAGGAGTCTCGGGTTCGATTCCTGGTCCGGTTATATGTTTTCAGTATATATGTGTTTAATTAATTTACAATATTATATTAGAGGATTGTTTTCGTAACTTTCATTGGCTGAGAGTATGTCACGTGATATTCCTCCTTTTGTGATTTCGATGCAAAAGTGCGTCCGCGGCAATGATATAGCACGACAGGCCGTTCGGTTGCACCAAAGTTACTTAGTACGTGACGTCATAATATAAGCGTGAATTTAACCATTGTGACGTAATGACAGCCAAATCTGTTTAGTAAGGACTGTGTCAGTGCATTCACTTTGAGTGATTATATAATGTAACTATCA